AATTTGACACGTGCTGTAAACTGTCTGTCGCAGGAGATGCAGTGGGAACCATTGATCTGTGTTTCAGGTGCGTTTGAGAACGGACTCGCTGAAGGTGAAATTGAAGCAGGTCTTCAACCGGTCTCGGCTCTGCGTCTACTGGTTCACTCTGACTCTGACGTGTGGGCTCTGCTGAGTGAGGTCTGACCTTTCAGTTTCATTTCTTCTCCTCAGAAAAAGCTGCTTTTGTTGCTGTATAAATTAGAAGATAAACGTGTGTTTCTGCAGCCTGACAGCAGTGGAGAAACTCTCTCAGTAGGAAAACAGACAAAGTTTCACCTAAAAAGTTGGATTTTCACAGTGTTACAGATAGTCTCCCAGAGAAAAGGGTCTGACTAAGAGAGGGGTCTTTTTTCAGGGTCTTAAAAGGCACTGAATTCATCAATTCAAACATAAGTCCTTAATTAACCTTTAATTGTCTAAAATGAGTCTTTCAGAGGTCTTAACAATGTTAAAACATTGTAAGCATGATGATTGTAATTTGTCTCAAATATTAAAATACTTGGCAATATTTATTTATTTATAATTTACGGAATGCCTCTTGCAGCTAGTTTTTTTTAAATAAACATTTGTGTAAATTTGTTGCTTAATATTTTCCATTTGTGTTGATTGTGAAGTTGGTCTTAAATGTCATTTCAAGTGGCAATAGAGAGGTCTTTAAAAGTCTTGTATTTAACTTGCCTTAAACTGTAGGAACCCTGTTTTTGACAAGCATCTGCTGGTTGAGCTTAAGAGAAACCAAACTAATACTAGACATGGGTTTTTACGATGTAAAAACAAGTGTGCATTGCCTTGTAGCATGGCTTTGCCTGCAGTGTTGGACTTGCAGTTTGAACTTTGACCAAGTTCAAAGGTGTTTGCTATACCAGCTTGTGCCTGTCACGTCAGCAGGTGTTTGTAATTTAGGTAATTATGTGACAATATGAAGTTTGAAGTGAAAGATTGTTTAAGTTGCATTAGCTGGGTTTTGAACCCTGATCTCCCACATGAAAGTCCATGACATAGACCATTAGACCAATGGAGCTGTGGCAGAAAATGGTGGCAGGGGTTGGTTTGTATGTGTGCAGAAAGAGGCCACATTGCCAATACAATTATTGACAAAAAATGCATAATATTACAACAAT